CTAGATATCTAGAACAAAACCAGAGACCAGTTTTGTGAACAACCAGAACTTTCTGTCTGAGTTTACAGCCAATAAACGCTAAGATAGAGAGGATTCAATGGCTACTGTAGTATACACCTGATGGGAAACAGCGACATGTGCCAGGCAATCAGTTGTGCGTTCTGTCGTTTATGTCTTTAGTAAAGTAAAGGACCCTCTTCCACGCCTTTCAGGCGTATTGGGTATATAGGGCGAGACGTATATTTTATAGACCAAACTGCACTTGGTGGGTGATGTGGTCAGCATCACGCCGGCCGTCTTTACTTCCTAGGACTGCACATGGTACCCACTTTAAAAAAAAAAAAAAAAGGACCACTTCCTGTCAGGAATGAACCTACGATCTTCCGATCAGCAGGCGAACGTCTAGCCGATAGACCACGAAGGCTCCCCGTTTGTGTCATTATGAAAAACTGTCAGCCCGAAGGTGCTGAGCTAAAAAAACATATTTGCCGGCTGAATGTGCTGAACTAAAACAAAAATGCTGGCTGAATGTGCTGAACTAAAAAAGATTACCGGCCCGAAGGTGTTGAACTCAAAATTCAAATCTGAGCAAACTTTTATAATTGACTTCCGACTTCCAGATCTGGCGTTACTGCCTGTATTCACAACTGTGTCGGTGTAGGCAGGAAGGGGGGGGGGGGGGGGTGTGTCTTTGGGCCCTCGGATTTAGGACCGGCCGTATAGCTAGTGCCGTCACCAAGGACTGTGCAGATTAGGATTTGATATTTGCCCCGGACACAAAATAAAATAATCGCTGAGCTTACCCAGGATTCGAACCATAGTCTTCCACGTGAGAGCCCTGGGTTCTTACCTGTAAGGCCAGATGGAATAACTGACTACGTAGCTAACAGCATCCACTTGGCATACACCAAAGTTTGTCCCCACCAGATGCTTCCTCGAAACATCACACAGAAAGGAAGAACAGCAGAACAGGGGTAAGAGTCAAGACGAAAAACAGTAGACAGGATCTAGCCACGACCTTGTCTAGTATACTGTAGACGGCCTTGATCTTACGTTGTATTTGGGGTTTATTCCTGTATTATAGTCAAGAATGTTGATTTACCTTAAATCTGTTGCCGCAGATTAATAATGGGTGCATGCATTCGGTATGTGTGCACATAAATATGATATTCAATGTCCTTGGGGAGAAAAGTTGTTTATGTAACAGCTGGGTTTTGGACAAACAGAAATAGAAATGCACGCGGCAGTTGAACACGTGTTATTTTGTAACCGTCCACTGGTGACTGAAATGAAAAACAGCCTGTGGGAATAATCTAGTGCCTTGTGGAATAGCTTTGACCAACAGGCTTCTCCACAACTTGCTGTCCCCAAAAGGGTGTATTAGTCAGTGTGCTGACACATTTCCATGCCATGACAAAAGGCTCTCCCAAATCTGCTCGCATTATCTTTCTCTGTCTTTCCACAAATATTTCCAGTGATCATATTATGTACCACATCCTGTATCTTCCTGATAACGTGCGATTTGGGCGCACTCCCCTTTCCTTCACTGGTGACTATCTGTGTGATGTGTCGTCTTCGGGCCTGTGACATGCGCCATGCCAGGCAACAGCCGCCACGAAGGACCTCTTTGAGACGTGCACTGGAATACGTTACAATAATAAGCTCCTGTTTATTTGGGCAAAATCAGTTGAATCAGCGAAGCGTACAAACTCACAATTTAAAATGTGTCACGCCAAAGTGACTGGCAAATAACATAATATTTTCTACAAGTCAAGCCTAAGGGAATAGTCATAGATGATATCCGCTGTCAGCGGTGGTCGAGGACCAACAGGCATTATCTGGAACTCCTGACGTAACATGACAACCTTAATGGTAACAGTCAACTCCGAGGTGTCCTAGCGCAATCAAATGACGAAGGCCATGTATGTATTACTAATACTGGCGTATTACGAAGACTATATGATACGAATGAAAATGTGCAATAATGTGATAGGTGGAAAAAGCTTGCTCAAACACTCCGAGTACTCGCCAGCGTACTCACACTCGCCTTGAAACATTAGAATCCATATTCCAAATCCTATTTGTTATCAGGGAGTCGCCGTGGTGGAGTGGCTTGACGCTCGCCGCGGATCGAAAGGTCGTGGGTTTGCTCCCTGGCGGAGCCGGACTTTTTTCATAAATGACCTTGGCTCCCAGGTCGACCCAGCCTTGAGTGGGTACCGAGTGCAGTCCTGGGAATTAAAGGCGGCCGGCTTGATGCTGACCACATCAGCCATCTTGTGCTGATTGGTCCATCAAATCTAGGTCTAGCCCAATATGCCTAAAGGGGTGGAAAATGACCCTTTATTCGTTATCAGTTCACTATAGGTCAACAGCTCGACCTTGAACACCTCTGGTTTTTTCAGAAAGTCATGATTATCCAGCAGTCCCGCTGAGAATAAACATCAGATTATAGTGATCCTGCTTACTACAGAAACAGCAGTAACACCCAGCACACAGGCTCAAATTCTCCATGTGATCCTGGAGAAAATCTTCCCTTGGCATGAGCCACACTAAGACAACAACAACGTCCGCCTCCTTGGACTTCTAGACTGCAAATCTCCAAGATTCTAGGCTTATAACGTCCTGTTTGCCTAGTTCATTATTGGTGTGTTTTAGTGCATGGTCTGCATGCGACCGGGGCCCTTGATTCTTTTACAACATCTGGTTACTCGTTATGGCTGTCCTGGGAATTGTAACCATTCTTTTTTTCAAACTACACCTGGGGCCTCCAGAAAGTGTCTGGTTTCTGGACGAATTGTTCAGGACTAACAGCCGTACACATCTGAATAACTTATTTACTTAGTCGCTCCTCTTCTACCTTAAGATGTACAGGTTTGCCAGACTTCTGTATTAGCGGTTTTCTTTCTGGCTTTCTGGCTTTGTTCCATTCCAGTCGTTGTCAGTCAGGGAATGTCATATGTTGTCTTCCTAGTGGACCCTGGGTCGTCCTGGAGGTCTGGTTCCCTGGTTCTTAGCCTCTCATGCTTGTCATGGTGGCCGATTTTCTCAAGTTTTGCATTCATGTCCAAAGCATCGTTTGATCCACTCGAGTTTCTAAGGCCCGGGTTTCAAGGTCATGACATATTGTCTGTTTGCGAATTTTATTCCTTGTCGCTTGGACCACCTTTCTCAGATACCTCATTTCTGAGGCCTGGAATGAAAACAACATCGTGAATAAAATGGCCTCTTGAAGCCCATAGTGCTAGTGACATATTTATCAGCCTCCTGGAATCCACTGGGTGATGTTGTCAGTACCAGGACATTCAACTGAAATTTTTTAGAAACAGAGATTAAGGATAAAGAAGAAAGTCGTGCTAATGGTTGTAGCAATGGTGACTGCCACAGTGGCGTTGAAAATAAAAAATAAAATCAGCAACAAATACGGCAGCAACAACGACAACAGCAGCAACAACGACAACAGCAGCAACAATGACAACAGCAGCAACAACGACAACAGCAGCAACAACGACACCAGCAGCAACAACGACAACAGCAGCAACAACGACAACAGCAGCAACACAATGTCTGCCCTACTCCCCTGGTGTTGAATACATTTCTGCTACCTGATCTGTCAAGAAAGAAGAGTATAGGAATGCATTCGAAACGGCTTTAAAATTGACTGAATAATGTTTATCTCACTTTATGAGGTTGAATAATAATGTTTGTCTCAATTTATAAGGACTGAGTGACAATGTTTATCTCACCTTTTAATAACTGAATTATTTTTTTTATTTTTTGTTTTATTTTTGCACTTTAAAATAACTGAATAACTGTTTATCTTACTTTAAAATGACTGCATAACAATGTTTATCACAGGTTATATTGCTGAATAACAGTGTTTATAACACGCTATAATTGCTGCATAACGTTTTATTTCACTGTTTAATGACTAAATAATAACGTTTATCTGACTTTATAACAACTGAGTATGCCATACAGTTCCTATACACAGTAAACACTTAGCACTGAAAGCCATCAAATGTAAGAATCTGATTGATTCTTTGGTATCATTTCAAATGTTTTGTGTGAACCTTGCCTATTCTATTATTGTATTTATCAATATTTGTAGGATTTTTATCAGTTGTGTTCCCTTAGTCTTACTCCTAGCCTTTGCCAAGGTTTCAACTTCACTTCACCTGGGTCACCACCATACTTGTTCCGTTTCTGAACCAGTGAAAATCAAATGAAATGTCCCTCACTGTCCCAGTTTAAAAACACGTTAACTAACTGTTAGTCCCAGCAGAATCCAGAAATTTGTGAACACAGTAAATGCATGAGGCCGTTGCTAGAGGTGCCAAAGCCAACAGTAGCCAGCAGAAATGTTGTTTGTAGTTGATGGAAGTGATCAGTCGGGATGAATTGGCCATACACATGCAAAATTATTGCAGAAGGCATTTCATTGGCTCACACGTAAAACTGGCCACCCATCATATTGAATACCATGACTCAACTGCTGCACCCGTGAAAGGCATTCCATATTACCTTTAAAAAAAAATCTCACAGTGCTGCACCAAATACTGAACTCGATAGACTTTCATCCATGTTTGGAAACTACATTAGCAAAGTGCTGTCAGAAGCAAAAATAACTTCAAAGTTAAACATTCTGTCTCTACATATTAGGTCAGAACCAATTGAGTTGTATCATTTGGAATGATTTGAACTAATCTTATCTATTATTTGTGTATCATTTAGAGTAATCTGTAGGAACTCCATTGATTATGTTATGTCATTAAGAATGATTTTATATAAATCTTGTTAAAATGGTAAATCATTTAGAATGGTTTGCAGGAATTCCATTGATTGTGTTGTATTGTTAAGAATGATTTGAATGTATCCTGTCTGTTCTTTTATATCATCTATAATAATTTATATGATGTCATCAATTGCATTATAGCATCTCAAATGATCTATGTGAATCTCATTGATTATGTTATATCATCTAGAATGATTTGCCGCAGGTCAACTTGGCTGCATACCAGGCCTTTGCCATGCAGCAGAGGGCGCTGCTTCAGCAAGCTTTGACTTACGAGTCTTACCTACAGAAAGCTGCTGTGGGCAGTGGTCAAGCCCAGTTGTTTCATCATTCTCAGGGAATCGGAGGAACTGGTACCTCTCCGTTGGTCGGAGCCCGGCCACCGGATTCTGCTACCTCTCCCAGAAGTCCGCTCAAGTTGGAACAGGTTAGTATTTCTTAACTATGTGTTAAAAATGGAACAAAGGAGCAACAACACCCCCATTCATTGTCATTACTAGAAATCAGAACACTTATCAAAGGAAAATACAAGAAAATGTGGAGAGAACAAATTAACAGTAAACATATATAAGACCCCATCAGTAGACTCAACAGAAACCAGCGTGCAAAAATTTTGCCTCTACAAATAGGACACTGAAGGCTCAACTACCACATGCATAAAACAAAGATTGTACAGTCCCCGCACTGTGCCTGTCAAACAGGACCACAAACACTTGAACACATTCTGCAGATCTGCTCACTCTACCTACAACTTCAAAAAGACACCTGGCCTCAAGAGCAAAGTGTGCAGAGCAAGCTATGGGAAAGCATGAAGGACCTGCTACTGACATGCGAGTTCATAGAGGCAACCCACCTGATGGTCTGATCTGAGCATATGAAACTGAACCCAAAGAAGAAGAAGAAGAAGTAACTATGTGTTGACTATAGAAAACAGTATTGCACGAAATCAATGAGATTATAGGAAATATTTTTAGAGGAAGTGGATGAAATGATGAAAATTGGTATTACAGAAGAAATTTAAGAGATTATAAGAAATACTATCAGAAGAAGTCAGAAGATAATATACAATTTTATTGGAAGAAATTGGAGAGATGATAAAAGAAAAATATTGATGGAAGTCAGAGGCATGATGGGCAATGGTTTTACAAGAAGAATTCAGAGAGATTATGAGGAAAACTTTCAGAGGAAGTCTTAGAAACGATATAAACTATTTTACAAGAAAGAACTGGCACTATTAGCATGTCGACTTTTACATTGGCTGCTGCAGAAGGGGACATAGCACATGTGGGAATGTCCTGACTGCAGTGACATCAGTTCTTGATTGATTCACTCATGTTGTCCATTGCAGGTGACTCCACCTTCCACTCCAAGCGATATGGACGGAGGTGTTCACGAGAAGCGCTTACACAACCATGGATCACCTCACAACCATGAATCACTCCTCTCTCCTGTGAGGGTGAACACATTAACCTCCATGCCTCATGTGTCAGCCGGTGTCATCCAGTCACCTCCAGCACTACTGGCTGGTCATTACTCTGCCATGGCCAAGGTAACATATGCCATAAATACTCTTGTGAATACTTTGGCATCATATCCGAGCATTTTGTGCACATTTGTGGTGCATTTATGTTTTTTATTGTTATTTCTCTCCCTTCTTTTCACGTTCTCCTTTTCCTCTTCCTCATCATCTTTCTCCTGTTCCTCTTCCATCTACTTATAGATTTTCTTCTAACCCTTTTTCTTTGTTTTCTTCTTTTTTTTTCTTATTCCTTATCCTTCTTCTTCTTATTTTTCTTCTTCCTCCTCCAGCTTCTTACACATCTTCTGCACTGTGTCACTTCATGTAATTTCTTCTTCCTCTTCTTTTTCCTTCTTCTAAACCACCACCTTCTCCTCATTTTGTTTTCCTCTTCCTCCTCTTCTTCTTCCTACTCCTTTCTCCTCCTTCTTCAGTCATGACAGGCAAATGCACTAGCGTTGATGTCATTGCAGATCCTTTGATGCAAAGAGACAAATATCATGAACCCAATGGGGCCAGGGAGATAAAGTTAAAAGAGGTTATCAAAAGTGCTAGGGTCCCAATTCTGAATTACCTGTAAACCGTTAGGTTAGTTGCGTATCCTTTACAGGAGGTTGCAGAACCAATCCTAGCATTGGCTGTTGTGGTTTTTCTAGGCAAATTTACGTCCAGTAGTTTGCCATTGCTTTCTGGACTGCTAGCTTCTCGATACCACTGTCCAAACCAATACAAGGCATAAGGCCCCCAGCTGGGATCAAACCCGACAGCCTGGCATTATGAAGTGTGTGCGCAACGCCTAAGCCACAAGCTGACATAAACCATTAACCAGCTTAATACTATGGTTTTTTAACCTGGTTTTGTGTGTGTGGGTAATTGGGCATAGGGTAACTAGAGCTTTACTGTTAAAGAGGGCTTACCGGGATTTGTAAATATAGGATTCTCTTCCTTGAGATGTTAATCCTATGGACTGCAATCCTTCAGGGGACAAACTAACTCTTCTACACAACAGGGTATGGCAAGGTTGTAACAGAGGCAGACATTATGGGTACCATAAATGTAACCACTTAGAAATTCCCTGTTAGAATGCCATCGAAGATTTGACTGTTTCAGTTAGAGGGATGGTCAAACCTTCAGGTGGCCTTGAAGGGAGAAAGTAGTCATTCAGTGAGTCAGACCAACTGAAGAAGATATGCAGGCAGAGAATACATTGTCAGCCCAGTAAGTAATTTGGTGTCAATATGCAGGGTGTAATTTGTCATTTTCATATATTGTTAGGTGTACGCATCCTAGGAGTAATTTATTTTTTGATAAGTCACCTGGTATTAAATGAGTGAATCCATTTTTTTCTTGTTGTGTCCTTTCAGTCTGATGGTATTGATGCACCTCACAACAGGGCAGGCTCACTTCCCTCATTCAGTAGCTTTAGATCTTCACAGAGGTCATTGGACAATCTTCAGACTATGGCCTTGGGAGCTAGGCACCTACCTCCGGGCCACCGGCCCCACACTCACCTCAGCGACAACCATACTCTACCTCACCCCAGCCTCAGGCTTACTCAGGAGATGATCAGCTTTCATCAGCATCATAACAACAACCTCATCAGCACCAGCAACAACAACACAGCCAACGGGACAATCGCCTCAAGACGCATGCTGCCACCACTGTCGCCTCAGGGGCTTACCGACCATGATAAACTCATAGACCAGCAGGTTCGGATCAACAGGGAGCTGGAGCAGCGACATATGTCCCGAGAAAGTAATTCCAGAGAGTTTGATCACAAGAGAGAGAATGAAAGAGAAATGAGTGTTCAAAACGGCTCAAGCAGAGACTACGGTCATGACCACACCAGTTCCATGGAACACCAGCGAAACAGTCTGCAGGAGAACCACAATGGTTCTGCCCTCTACCATCATTCTCAACACCAACCATTGATACACGAAAGAGTTGAATCACATAATACATCGTCGTCACACTCCATGGATGAAAACCATCACAAATCTTACCCCTGTGATTCCGTGATGGACCTCAGCATGAATAAATCCTCAAACTCCCCATCCTCAAGAGCATCTAGCACAGCATCATCCAGTATTGACAAGGAGGCCAGCGGTGGAACCATGCCACCACCGAAAACCCCGACTTCCACCGGCGCCGAGTCGGAGTCCGAACCGGGCAAGAGAGATGTCACCACAACCTCAGCCACTCCGACAGTGGACAGCGGTGGGATCCATCACTGCCAGCACTGCAACATCTTCTTCTATGACTACACCATGTTTCATCTGCATGAGAGCCTGCACATGCCGTACGAAGACCACCCGTTCCGATGTCCATCATGTGGAACTCACTGCCAGGACAAGATTGAGTTTATGTTCCACACCGTCTGGCATGTCAAATACCCGCATACTATACCAAACTACACACCATTCAGGGAAGGATTCCTTTCATCTCCATAATGGTAAGTAAAACTTCTATGTTTTCAGTAAGTACTGCCAGCACTCCATTGTCCTTCTTCTTCGCATTCACTAGCTTTAACCTCAGTGCTACGCATGCATCCATTTTATAGATCTTACTCACTTGTATGCAGACTGCTGGTTCCTTGCCTCTCAGGCAGATGCACTCCGACTTCGAAAGGAAGCTCCCAGTTAGTCGACTCTTACGACATGCTTTTGAGTAAGCAGTGGATCTGTTGATTTCTGCCCCCTATAACAGGGCCCCGGAAACCACTCAGGGATAGCTCTCTATTGATTCTTCTTCTTCTCCTTCTCCTCCTCTTCTTCTTATTATTATTATTATTCTTTTCTTCTTTTTCTTCTTCTTCTTCTTCTTCTTCTTCTTCTTCTTCTTCTTCTTCTTCTTCTTCAGTATCTTTTGAGGTTCATTCATACATAAATTGCCCACCTCCACTATCTCTGATAGGCCTTCTCTTTCCAGTGTTTGTAGGTCTGCCTGTATATTATCTATCCACAGTTTCCTTGGTCAGCCTCTTTTTCTTTCATCTCCTTTGTGTCTTCTTCTTCTTCTTCTTCTTCTTCTTCTTCTTCTTCTTCTTCTTCTTCTTCTTCTTCTTCTTCTTCTTCTTCTTCTTCTTCTTCTTCTCCTCCTCCTCCTTCACTTCCTTTTCTTCTTCTTCTTCCTCCTCCTTCACTTCCTCTTCTTCTTCTTCTTCTCCTCCTTCACGTTTTTCTTCTTTTTCTTTTTCTCCTTCTTCTTCTCCTTTTTCTTCTTCTTCTCCTCCTTCACTTCCTCTTCTTCTTCTTCTCCTTCTTCTTCTTCTTCTTCCTCTTCTTCTTCTTCTTCTCCTCCTTCACTTTCTCTTCTTCTTTTTCTTCTTCTCCTTCTTCTTCTCCTCCTTCACTTCCTCTTCTTCTTCTTTTCCTGTTTCTTCTTCTTCTTCTTCTTTATCTTCTTCTTCTTCTTCTTCTTCTTCTTCTTCTTCTTCTTCTTCTTCTTCTTCTTCTTCTTCTTCTTCTTCTTCTTCTTCTTCTTCTTCTTCTTCTTCTTCTTCTTCTTCTTCTCCTCCTTCTTCTTCTTCTTCTTTTTCTTCTTCTTCTTCTTCTCCTCCTCCTCCTTCACTTCCTCTTCTTCATCTTCTCCTCCTTCACTTCCTCTTCTTCTTCTTCGTCTTCTTCCTCCTCCTCCTCCTCTTCTTTTCTTCTTCATGTCCCTTGCAGTTCCTTGATAAATCAATTGCCCACATCCATTCATCTTTGTTATACCTTCTCTTTCCAGATGGTGATTAAGTGTTAGTTAGTCTGCCTTATATTATCTATCCACAATCCTCTTGGTCTGCCTCTTAGTCTATTACCATTCAGCTCTTGTGTGTGAACAGTTTGTGTCTCTCGGTTATCTGCAATTCTTTCCAGAAACCCCAACCATGGCAGTCCATTATCCCCCTTGATACCAATAATCAGTGGTGATTTGAACAGATAGCACTTCATTGTTTGATTTAAATGTTATAGAATTAGTATCAGAGCACATGGGGCATGCTTTAAATGCTCAGTCTCCTGTAGAAATTTTCTAAAGTGGGAATGCAAAATACTTTGTGCATGATTAAATGATTATCTAGTTGTGAGTATCATCTTCTTCAGTCACAATCTGGTAGAAAGTACAGGTACTATCAAAGAGTGTTGTCAGTGGTAGGAGTTTATCTTGCACTAGCTACTTTCATTAGTTTAGTTAAGTTTAAACAAAGGATCAACATCATGGCACAAGGATAGTAAACCATAAGTGCTCCGTTCTACTTCTAACTCAAGCCTCAGTCCGAAGAATCTCAGCGCAGTGCATGAACTCCGTAGCACTGGAGTTTTGTTAAGGTGTTATATGGCAGTGAGTATTGTCTGAGATAATTATCAATATGTTCTGTCTGTGTTATTATTCAGTAGATACTGCCTTAGTAGGGTAACTAGTAGTAGAAACTATTTTATTATTTTATATTGCAATAGGTCTTAGTAAGTTATCTAGTAAAAAGTACTATCTTAGTAAGTTATCCAGTAAAAAGTACTATCTTAGTAAGTTACTTAACAGCAGGTACTAACTAGTTTAACAAGTTATCTGGAAGTAGATACTATCTTAGTAAGCTATCTATCAGTAGGTACTGTCTTAGTTATCTATCAGAAGGTACTTTTTCATTAAGTTATCTATCAATAGGTACTGTCTTAGTAAGTTATCTAACTGTAGGTACTATCGTAGTAAGTTATTCTTCAGTAGGTACTATCTTAGTAGATAATCTTTCAGTAGGTACTATCTTAGTAAGTTATCTATCGGTAGGTACTATCGTAGTAAGTTATTCTTCAGTAGGTACTATCTTAGTAAGTTATTCTTCAGTAGGTACTATCTTAGTAGATAATCTTTCAGTAGGTACTATCTTAGTAAGTTATCTATCGGTAGGTACTATCGTAGTAAGTTATTCTTCAGTAGGTTCTATCTTAGTAAGTTATTCTTCAGTAGGTACTATTTTAGTAGATAATCTTTCAGTAGGTACTATCTTAGTAAGTTATCTATCGGTAGGTACTATCTTAGTAAGTTATTCTTCAGTAGGTACTATCGTAGTAAGTTATTCTTCAGTAGGTACTATCTTAGTAAGTTATCTATCGGTAGGTACTATCTTAGTAAGTTATTCTTCAGTAGGTACTATCGTAGTAAGTTATTCTTCAGTAGGTACTATCTTAGTAGATAATCTTTCAGTAGGTACTATCTTAGTAAGTTATCTATCGGTAGGTACTATCTTAGTAAGTTATTCTTCAGTAGGTACTATCATAGTAAGTTATTCTTCAGTAGGTACTATCTTAGTAAGTTATCTATCGGTAGGTACTATCTTAGTAAGTTATTCTTCAGTAGTTACTATCGTAGTAAGTTATTCTTCAGTAGGTACTATCTTAGTAGATAATCTTTCAGTAGGTACTATCTTAGTAAGTTATCTATCGGTAGGTACTATCTTAGTAAGTTATTCTTCAGTAGGTACTATCGTAGTAAGTTATTCTTCAGTAGGTACTATCTTAGTAGATAATCTTTCAGTAGGTACTATCTTAGTAAGTTATCTATCGGTAGGTACTATCTTAGTAAGTTATTCTTCAGTAGGTACTATCGTAGTAAGTTATTCTTCAGTAGGTACTATCTTAGTAGATAATCTTTCAGTAGGTACTATCTTAGTAAGTTATCTATCGGTAGGTACTATCATAGTAAGTTATTCTTCAGTAGGTACTATCGTAGTAAGTTATTCTTCAGTAGGTACTATCTTAGTAGATAATCTTTCAGTAGGTACTATCTTAGTAAGTTATCTATCGGTAGGTACTATCGTAGTAAGTTATTCTTCAGTAGGTACTATCGTAGTAAGTTATTCTTCAGTAGGTACTATCTTAGTAGATAATCTTTCAGTAGGTACTATCTTAGTAAGTTATCTATCGGTAGGTACTATCGTAGTAAGTTATTCTTCAGTAGGTACTATCGTAGTAAGTTATTCTTCAGTAGGTACTATCTTAGTAGATAATCTTTCAGTAGGTACTATCTTAGTAAGTTATCTATCGGTAGGTACTATCGTAGTAAGTTATTCTTCAGTAGGTACTATCGTAGTAAGTTATTTTTCAGTAGGTACTATCTTAGTAGATAATCTTTCAGTAGGTACTATCTTAGTAAGTTATCTATCGGTAGGTACTATCGTAGTAAGTTATTCTTCAGTAGGTACTATCGTAGTAAGTTATTCTTCAGTAGGTACTATCTTAGTAGATAATCTTTCAGTAGGTACTATCTTAGTAAGTTATCTATCGGTAGGTACTATCGTAGTAAGTTATCTAACAGTAGGAACTACTTAAGTATCTATCAGTAAGTACTGTCTTAGTAGTTTTGCAGATTCTCTGTAAAAAATATTGTGCTCTTATTGTACACCTAATTTTTGTAAATAATTGCTATGTTTATGTGACTTGGGATTTTCCATGTACTTTCCTACACTAGCCCAAAATATATGTACTATTTCAAGTTAGGAAAACTATAGAAGTGTAATGTTTTACACAGGCTACATTCTAAAGTTTGTAAGGATTTCAGACATCCAGGTTTTTAAAACATTTACTGTACCATTTTTCTATAGCCATCACAGTTGCTTTTATTGATCCATTACAGAAGCATTTGAACATTGCCCAACCCATTCCAGATATTTCTTTCGGATATAATTATGTGTTCTTTCGGATATAATTATGTGTTCTTTCGGATATAATTATGTGTTCTTTCAGATATAATTACTTACAGTATAAATTATTTCAGCTTACAAATCGTGATTTTCTTGTTATTCAGACATGCAATTTTTTTTCCGGTACTGTAAATAAGGATAGTTGTTTAGCTCAGTTACTTGTGTCATTTTAACAATCCAGGGTTTTTTCTGTTGTTTTTCTTTTCTTCTGGATCATTCGGAATTAATTGTAACTTTCCCAGTGTGGGTTCGAGGCTTCATGGGGGTTTAGATTTTAAACAACGGATCAACATCATGGCATAGTGCAGTAACTCATCAGTGCTCCGTTCTGCTTCTAACTCAAGCCTGAGTCTGAAGAATCTCGTGCAGTGCATGAACTCTGTAGCACCAGCAAGAATCCTAAAATAATTTTGGTAGATTTGTAACTCCAAATTTTGGTGTAATGTAACAACTGAGTGGGATTGGTGTAATGTAACAGCTGAGTGGGATTGGTGTAATGTAACAACTGACTAAGTCACAAGAGGGCTAAGCACAGTACACCATATTCATTTAAACTGGACAGATATCTGGTGATTTTCATGGTACTTCTTCTTCTTTTCTCTGCTAGTCTTTCTGCAATTCTTCTTCTTTGTCTTCTTTCCTTTGCTTGAAGTAGATTATTTGTATAAACACAAATAGAACAAAGGAGCAACAACAAGCCCATTCATTGTCATTACCAGAAATGAAAACACTTATCACAGGAAAATACAAGGAATTGTGGAGAGAACAAACTAA